TGCAAACTGGCCATGGTCAGCTTAATCTCATCCGATTTGTCAAAAAGAATCTGTAAGATTGTGTACATCATTAGCATGTTTTGTTGGCGCTCTCGGTCTCTGGAAATTGCTCGTTGGCTCTTGCGTCTGACAGTTATTGCTGTACACTTCACACGAAATATTCGGTCCACTGCCTGTCTTCAAATTTACAAGTGTTCGACGGAACAGATAACTGACGTGGTAACTGTCAATTTTACCAGATGATTCCATAGAAAGCTGTGTTCCGTTTTGATGATTTCGTCGTCTACAATCCTCCGATTACTTTCTCCCTCGATCTGGCGCCTGCCAGCTCTGCTACCAGATGTCGCCTTTTCATTCGATCGATGAGAGAGTAGTCTGAATGAAAAAAAAAACACTTCACGGTTGTTTTTTCGTAGCCCGGACTTTCGATAAAAGGCTCTTGGTTAAATTAGAAGTTCTGGGAATTCGCAGTCCACTAACAGACTTTCTCAGGTCATACCTGTCTAATCGTAAACAAAAGGTTTTAGTGGGATCTTCACTTTCCAGTGAAAGCCCTATTGTAACTGGTGTCCTACAAGGCACCGTTTTAGGTCCTCTTTTGTTCCTGCTTTACATAAATGATATATCAATCATTTATTTACCGCGATGATCTCAAATGTGTATATTTTTTCAACAAGTCTACGAACGTTTATTACCTGGAGGAAATCCATGCTGACTTGCTTGCTCTCTTAACTTGGAGCCCAAAATGGCTAATAGAATTCTCTCCGTCTAAATGTCCCTATATGTGTTTTGAACCTGATTGGCTACCTGAACTTATGACTGAATGTACCACCATCAAGGATCAAGGTTTAAGCTACACTTATAATCTTGATCACTCGCCACACGCTGACATAATTACAGCCCAGATTTGTGGCTTTATTTCTTACAATTTCTATCTTCCTGAAATTAAATCACGACTTTATCGTATGTTTGTATTTCCCATTCTCGAGTATTGTTGCCCATTGTTCGGTCTGACGAATGAGGCTAGTCGTTTAAAAATTGAAAATGTCAAAAGACGTTTTCCCAAAAAAACTTTTAGATAGGGAACATCCCAATATCTCCTACGCAGATAGATGCCAGCTAATTAACCTAAATTTTAAATGGGTTCGAAGACTAGAAGCAGGCTTCTGTCTCCTCTTTCGCATTAATAATAGTTCAAATCTTCCTCGGATTTCAGCCCTTACCTCTAGAAGTCGCCCATACAATCGTCGTAGCTCTTCATTAATTATACTCCCTCCAGCCTCCTTCACCTCTGAACGCTCTCTTTTTTTTCGATTCAGATATACTTTCCTCTGGAATAACCTTCCAATAACTATAAGATCTTCAGATAATCTACATACCTTTAAGAGAAGGCTACGCCTTTATGTAAATACTGCCTCGATCAAACTTTTACTAAACTTTTCTCTTCCTTCGTGGACAACTTCCTCTCTGACACAGAGAAAGGGTCACTGAGAATTTAGTATGCCGCCATTAAATTTCCACATCTTCTCATATTTCCTTCTTTTGTGAGTCGCATTGTTTCCTAGGATCCCTCATCAAAAGTGTTAACTTTTCGGTTTTTCAGTCCATCCACCGTGCTCTCACAAAATGCGATCTATCGACATTCTTGGCGGAACCTTCTGTATTTGTCATACACTAGTAGTCTGGTCCTATCTCCCTTGCCCCCTCCTCGGCTGGATTCGACTGAATGTAACTGATCGCATCTGGGTTCCTATCGCCTCGAAACTGGTTTTCAATTCGCCACTTTGACACGAATGGCCTCATCCGGCATATGAATTCTCCCATGATGATTCCGACTCGATCCTTTTGTTCAGGTCTACATAAAGGCCAGTCCTGCCTGACCCGCCTACTTACCCCTCCATGAATTCCTTCATACAATGTCATATACAATTCCGGTCCTGCCTGCTTTTTTCTAAACTAGGGAGCGAGAGTTTTTTCTCCTATAGTTCTAGTTCATTCATACTCATTTTGTTTATGTTAGGAGTTTTTTTCTGCCCATGCAACATTCCTCGTAACATGCTACTCATTAAAAAAACTATGAATTAAGTACTCTATAATTCTGTATACGTCGTCTAAAATTCTAAAATTAATGTAAAATTTACTCTTACTTGCTTTAATATGACCCCACGGGTCTCGAATAAAACCAATTATTATTATATAAGATTTTTTGCTTACGAAGACTTCTTGGATTGGCGTTGGTCTCATCTCCTCTGGGTTGCCTCTAACAACAGGCCCAAAACGAATGAGGTTTTGTATTTCAATCAGATCACCCTGTTCTTCAGTGTCAGTTTTGGTATGTCAGAAAGTCCTACTTGGCCCTCTCATTTGGGATTTTGCCAGTAGTCTCAGGGACTTCCTGGACCACCACACGAAGTGATCTTTCAGGAAAAACAACTGTCTCTCTATCTTGCTTTCTTCTGTTGATGGTAGTTTGAATCATGGACTTTGGTCCTACTTTTAGTATTGTGCTTACACTGCTCTAAGGCGAAAAGTTTAGCGTCTGTTTCTTAAAAATCGCTTTGGGTCTTTCCATTGCAGCTACTTCTCCTATCATTCCGTCCGTTCGACTAGCGCCCAACTGGTACGTTCCTAGGCTTGTGGCGTCCAGGTCTTTCGCCAAGTTGCGCACTTCCGTAATGAACGCTTTTGCGCCTATGTTTTGCCGCCTTACATGACTTGTTGCACTAAAGCCACGGGAGCTGCTAGAGCTCTTTTGTAGTTTAGTTGAATCCACAATATTACGGTCTACAGTTTTTACTGGCGTCGTCGATCGATGTCTTAATTTGATGCAGACTGACTCTGTATGCCCCATATTTGCCAAACTTAGGGAAATGTAAGAGTCATTTTCATCCTCGTTTGGTTTGTGTTTGTTCCCCTCTATTTCGATAGAGTCGGAAGAGTTGTCGAACGACTTCTTTCGCTGCCTCTTTTTGTTCCGCGGAACATGAAGCCCATGGCATTTTACGGTTTATTTAAACTCCTGCGGTCCTTTTTATGATGCTTTTCATATCTTTTGCATTATTTTCCGGGGGTTGAATTTTGTTATGCTTGAGGAGTGATGCTATTATTTCCATAAGAAGTTTGACATATACGTCTAATGGCGAAACTTTGTTGGTTAGTTCCCGGCATCCATCACAATGTGTCGACATTCCAGTATTTAACTTATATGTGTCCGATTTCAGTAATTCAGTGATTATGAGGGATAGAGGCAGAGCCTTGGAAAACCCTATTTACAGATAGACGTATGAAAAAAACATACACACATTCGCATAGCAGTTATGCCAGTCATTGATATCATGTAAATGTTTGTCCATCAAGCATAAATTTATCTAGTCTTCTTTTGAAAGTCTCGACGTTTTCCGCTAAGACAACGGAGTTCGGCAATTTGTTCCATCCCTCAACCAGCCGGTGGGAGGAGAATTTGGCCCACAAATTGAGTTTGGCATATTTGGTCTTCAAATTGTATTGGTGCCCTCGGAGATTTGTCTTCCGCGCCAGTTCGAAGAAATCGTCAAACAGAAGAGCAGAGTATAGCCGTCGGACGATCCTGAAGGCCATGATCATATCCCCTATGTACTGTCTATAAGTGCGCTACGTTCTTCAGGATTGGTGGTTCAGTTCAGTTCATTTCAGTTTATTGAGGGAAATAGGCGTAAGCCTTTGAGTACCCTATTTGCAACGTAAAAAATGCGTGGTGTACAGATTGATGTTCTGGGCTGAAATAGTTCGAACACGCCCATAATGGTGGGACAAAATGAGAAGGAGTTACCGGGGGTGAGCTCGACTTCTCATCGCTCATGTTCATTTCGTAACATAAATATGTCCAGATTCTTCTTAAAACTTTGTATAGATGGTGACATCGCAACATCTGCGGACAACTCATTCCATGATTTGACCACCCGAACCGAAAAGGAGAACTTCCGCATATCCAGCCGTGCCTTCTGAGTGCGCAGTTTTAACGCTGTCATGATAATCAAACCTCCAGTAAACTGCGTGCCAAGAGAGGCCACACGCCCAGGTAGGCCGGTTTTTCCGCACACTCAGACAAGCTAAAGGCCTATAGAGGACCCGTACTTAATGCCACAGCAGATACCCGTCCGATAGTCCCACCACACCCTGTACCTTAACTACCTACTGAAGCTATCGCGTGCGACGCACTTACTACTGGTCCTGCGAACGGAGCTATCACTGAGGAAAGGTATATCTTAACCGGGGCCCCAGGACAGAGTCGTTCCAGGGAATTTGAAGGCGGGCAGTTATCGAGGTTACACACAAAGATTAACAATGCTCTGTCTCACATGTCAGTATCAGTATCAGTGTATTTCGGGGAACGTAGGTTTGACCCTTTGAAATCCCTATTGGTTACATGCAGAAGAAGTATATGAAGAAAATGGAAAGGAAGTAGCATGAAAGAAATGCAAGGGGAATAACAAAAACTGTACAGATGAACACAGAATGTCATGCGTTAACAGCACTTAGAAGCACGTGAACTCGGGTTGTTGATTAAATGCAGCAGACAGTTGAAGCAAACTTAAGATGCTGGAAAAGAAGTAAAGTGTTTTTAATCTGCAGGCATCGGGATGTCTGTACTGATTGTCTCTTAAATAGCCCCCTGGCCCGCTTAACAGAGGCATTAAATTAAATTATCATATCAATGATTCAGTCGACAGTTGAATAAACATCCCACATTTGGCTTGCATACTTTATCCAACGCCGTAGTTGTTGCGAGGTGTTAACAGAGTATGATGAAGTGATGTAGTCTACGCCGTTTAATGCAAAAGAGGACCACATGGGTGGTAGTATCGGATATAAAAGGGACTCTGTTACTTCGCATCTATTGCATCAAGGACGCTCGGCTCTACGGATACGTACGCGAGTGGCGAACGTTGCCATGACGACCCGGTCGCGAGAACGCCATCGACCTTTCTAACGCTTGCCGAAGATTACGATCACGTACCGACATGAACTCTGACAAAAACATTAACAACGTTGCACTGCACGCGGAGTTCGTCAGTATTATATATATGCGAATTTTATGTTTTCAAGTGATATTGAGGACATAATCACGCTTCTTGAGTCAGAATTAGTCAGAAAGGAAGTAATAGAATGCATTAATTCATTTGGAAAATAGGCTTGTGACGACAACAAAATATGCGGCCCCAAAACTGGTCCAAAGGACTGTCACCAAAACACCAGGTACTCACTCTGTACTCTAAACGTGAAGGTGTTCACCTCTCTCCATTGGCGGCTGTGAATTTAGTCCTGGGCTAACTTGCAATGGGATTAATCGGTAGCGAACACTACTACCTTATGCTTTCCCGTCAGGTCATGTGACAGGCTGCGATGCCTTGGTTGCGATCACGAAGTCTTAATCTTTGATGACAAAGAATGGACAAAGAATACTGACTATTTGTTTCTTAGAAATAACTACCCCGACGCTGACTCACTGAAAAAGAATTTACGAGCAAAAAGAAGTAAGCTGTTGGCACTCCTTGTTGAAAGACGCGTTATTGTTATGTTTGCTATTTTGGAATCGTGAACGTAAACCAAGCACGACTTATCTAGGTCGACGGGACAAACCTAACCGCAGACTATCCGACACTGAGGCCTTGTGTGGAATGAACAGCATCTCGTGCCCGACGAGTAGAAATGGCCATTTCTACTCGTCGGGCACGAGATGCTGTTCATTCCGGACCACCGTACCAAATTTTACATTTTTTGTCCGAAGTTAAGGAATGAAAGTCAAAGCAACTCGGGCTTATGAAATTCTGCGTAAATAGACTGTGAACGAACGAAACCCCTAGTGCCAATAGGTACCACATATGTTACAGTAGAAAATTACTCTAAATGCGCTCTCCAAGAATTACGGCGTGGAGAGCTTTGCACGAATTTTGTGGTTTAACTAATAACTCTTTAGTTGTAAAAGTAAAAAAAGCTGAGAAACCACGGCTTACTACGCGCTACAACAGGATCTTTAGCCAGAACGTTGACGACCCTCATTTCCCTTTGAAAAATAACCCTTATTCTCGTGATACTTCAAAGGAGACCCGTAGATGACTTTTAAAAAGGCCCATGGGCATCTGCGGAACCTCGCCAGATACCAGTTATTCCGGAGTAAGTTCAGGTGACCCATATGGTCTGCGCCAGCATACAGGACGTGCCGTGGTGTCAGTGAGCAATGCAAATCTCGACGGCTTATACTTCGTACTTAACTGCATTTAATAATCACTCAGAATTTATTTCACGGGCGGACGTCCAGTCACTACAAGAGATCTGTCGGTCTGCCCCTATAAACTCTTGTTAGGCCCTAAAGCGGGAGAAGAGCAATGTATGGTTATATACAGGAAGCACACTAATCCTGTAACTTGGGATTTTGTTCACCTGGAAGCCCGATATACTCAATCACAAATCATAGAGTTGCAGTCAATGCTTGGGGTTTCGATGTGACCCCTTAATTGCTAAAGACGTGGTATGACACCCACTCCCTGTAAATGCTAGTGCACGGTCCGACAAACTAGCCCGTATCACAAGGATAGAAAACGGTTGAATGAGGAGGGCGCAATTGCATTACGACGCAGGCCCAATAACGGTCTAAAGTTCAAAACGCGGATAAGCAAGGACAGCTGGGTACTGATCTCCATGCCCCAGGTAGTATACTCTGCAATCTTAAAGGGAATGAAAGTCACAGAACAGTTAGGCGAGTGGGACGGGTGCGAACCCACTGGACCGAAGAATCACCGCGACTAATTTAAAGAGCTTCAGACATAGCGCAGCCCTCATCGGAGGAGTCATTATTCGCATAACTTAGTTAACGTTTGCCGAAAATAACTCGTTTTGGCCAAAAACCATTGACGCGTATTACTTTTGAAAAGTAAAGCCATGTGACATTTCAGACTCCCGGGCATTCTGCTGTCAGTGCAGTTGGACAAATGCGACTAGACTCACGCGAATAGACCCAACAAAGATCAATTGGATTTGCACAAGGCACCCGACTTGAGAAGCCATGTAGTTCTTGTCTTTTTGAAATTACCGTGACGATTGCATACCCAATAAATGTTTTAAAGCTGTAGTGCATGACTTTGTCAAAAGTCTTTAATTCTGTTTCGATATGAGTACATCAAGCGCCGACTTTGTCCTCCGTTTGGTACGCTTTTCGCTAACAAACAGGTCGCTGTTGAGTTCTCCTCTTTTCTCCTTCTTATCCTTCCCGAGACGCGGCACCTTCTGACGAAGCATACTCGAAACCTCGAACAGTTTTCTCTCAAGACGAATAAGCTGTTTTTTCTTCTCAATTCGTCCGGGCTTCGAGCCTCCCTTCTTCTTTTTTCGGTTGACCTTGGGCATCCCCACTTTAGGTATTTCTCCAAGCTAAATAGCAGCCAAATAAAGTCAGAAGGCAACGGGGATCAATTATGCAAAAAAAGCAAAGCAATAACAAAAAGGACATCCAAGAGACATCACACTAATGAATCGCACATAAAGGTTGGCACGGACACTTAAAATCTACGAGCAGCCGATGAACGTCTATGAGAAATTTGTACTTCAGTATCAGGGGTGGATGGAAGAAAGCTTACAAATGAAGTACGTGGCCATCCGTCTATTGCGAGTATTGAGAAAAGCCAGAACAGCATGGGATGCAGCATCCACAGAAGTTTAACGATCAGAAAATGGTGTCTCGGATGGAATAAAATGACAAGTCCACAGCTCCACAATAAACACAAGTGCGAATTTCGAGATATTGCTATGCGGCCCTGAATTGGCAAATCCTTCCATAAATCACTGGCTTCCTCACTGCCGTGGTAAACCGCCATTCGCTGTCCACAAGAACATCGATAGTTGATCCATTATTATTAGGCTGCGTTTGTAGTTTGAACAAAACGTTTGAAGGCAATTGTGTGGTGAACAGTTTCGATACAGCTGGCGTGTGAGAAACAGTATCGGTGGCTGGAGCCGACTTGGACATTGAACACTCTTTACATCATCCGAAACCGGTTGTGACGGGTGCTGGAGTTTTCTCGTTTGGAACTGGCAGGTTCAAATTTCCGCGTAGTACAGTAGCCGCGTCTACGCCGCGGGCTACGAACAGGGGATCTGAAAATCTCAATCCACCCTCGTCCTCGGCGACAGATTTTGCCCCGACCTCTTCACCGCCTCCAGCTAGACAGCTACGCAGAATGAAGGACAGCAACGCTAAACCCATGAGCAGGGCGAGGGGGGAGGCACCAAAACTTTAAATGTTATTTTTGGATGCCCTGAGGTGGTCTCGTGACGTTGTCACGGCGAGTACGAAATGTCTCATTGGAGAACCTAAGGAATCTCACATGAGGTAGAGTTCTCAAGCAAAGGCTCACAAACACCTTCAGTTCCCTTTCGTCTTCTACACGCACAGTGAGAAGTGGTGTTGCAACAGGCACCCGAAAAAGCGCTTCTACAGTCGTTACAATTTATCCTCGGGTCTAGGGATAACTACAGTCTGATGATCGTCTTCTCTAAGCCACCTACGCTTAGCCTATCGGGAGCCTTTCCCCCGCCAGGGGGCTTCTTTTGTCGAATCCAGAGTAATGTCACTATCAAGTTATGGCGATTCCTAATCGCCAAATTTTTACTAAAATCCTCGAGGACAATCAGCTTGTCCGTACCAGGCACAAACAGGGGCAGGAAATGCAGAGCTTCGCAGAGCTTGTCCTTCAGCAGGTCCAAATTTGGTTTTTCTGGGGCGTGAGTGCTAGGGAAGGTGGCAGATTATTTCACGAAAGGCGACAGCTTTATTGTTACAAGTCGGTCGTTAATTCTGCGGCAGGGAGGGCAACTTCTGCGTGGTGACATTTCAGACGGAGAATGCGACCCCGGCATTGCGCCCCTTGCGACAACCGCCCCCAAGGCAAATTTATCCTGCTCCAGTTCCATTTAGTTATCCTTGTTCTGAGAACTAAGACTCATTGAGAGTAATGATGTCTACGTTGTATCGGGCAACAGCAGCTGTCCTCCTTGACGGTCGGCTGGCCATTGGGTTAGCTAACCCACACAGACATTCTAAACTGCCATAGTAAGTCAGGTCACCGACGGGAGGGGCGGGGACAGGGGCCACTCGTTTGTAAAAGACAACTGCTTACTGTTTGATCGTTGCGATGAACCACGCTTTTAAAGGAAATGGTAAAATCGGTATTCGAGCCACTGCTCACTTGGACGAACCCACACTCAGGGGGCTCGCCAAAAATAGCAGGAAAACGTCTGGATCTTTTAGATAGCACCTGTTCTGGGAGTGAAGGAAATCACCTTAGCGTGCATTAGCTGATTGCCTACTGGCATAATGTGAGCATTATGCGGTTACTTTACTGACGCAGATGAGATTTAGCTCAAACATGTCAACTTTCGGGACAAAACTTAAAAAACCTCCGTAAAAATGTAGATTTCTGGGAAAATTTAAGAAGTAGCAACATTAAAAAAGGCTTGTCGGGCAAGATATTTTCGATTCTCAGTGGAACTGTCTCTATCATCTAATTTGATGAGACAGGTGACGATATAAAGGTTTTCAACTATGAACGGAAGTTTTTGCACGTATCGTAAGAATAGTATGATTGTGAAGAAGTGTAACCATAATCCCGAGACGTGGCTCCGGGTAGAAACTACTTATCTGTAGAAAAAAGGGAGGAATTCAAAGACACTCCTCGTATGTCTTTCTAAACAGTAAGGGCAGGTTCTGTCTTGAAAGTGATTGCTATTTCAGAGGGAAAGCAGGAGTAGCTATACTAATGAAGTAAAAAAACACGAAGGTTGTCGCATCTTTTAGAAAATTTCTTATGCGCAGAAATTTGTCCAAACTCTCGAACACTGGTAATTTTAGACAGATAACTCCTGGCATCCATGAAGTAGGGACGGCAAAAACAAGCGTGTGCAAAATGCGCGGCACAACGTTTCTAACAGTGATCGGGTGCATACATACTTATTGAAGAGGTTTCTAAGGGACTATAAAACGGCGCGCTGAAGAAATGTCATCTAATTTTCAAAAAATTGCCTTGCCGGTAGCATACAGAAATAATTCACAGTATGTACCATCCAGGTGAAACTCTACCAAACCAAAGCGTTTTAAGGTCTCAAACAACTTCAGACAAGCAGAAAAATCTGAGAGTCAATGTTAAAACAAGGCATTGGACGAATTTTTACGCATCTTCGTCAGTTTGATAGTTTCACACTCGAAGAGCGCTGTCAAAAATTATGGGGATTTCGGAATGACCAGTGCTGGCGCATTCGGAATTAAGCTCGAATTCTGACGTCCAGGATTCGGATAAGGGTTATATGGAAATACAATGGTCTTTATTGTGCTGGATAACATAGTGCCCATGGAAACTTTAAAATGACAAGGTCGTATCTTCAGCATATTCCACAGGTCACAGGCAAGCTCGAAAGTTATGTTATCGTTAGAGTGGCGGAAATGAGGATGCTACAGTTTCAAAAACTGTTCTCATAATTCAGCATAACATTACAGACCCGATAGCACATTTTGTGCCAATGAGTTAAAGCCCCTTATGGATGGCATGGGGAAGTTAGATTATTTTAACAGGGCAATCCACAGATGTCCGTCAAAGACCTGCAGGCATGGGGTCGAACTCGTGAAAAAAACTTTCGACTGCATTGGGGCTCAAAAGCCTTTTGTAAAAATTACTTTTGTTATCATATAGGCGTACGCAGTTGCCAAGTACGAAATTTTGTCCTCATTTCGCCTGGGGGTCTAAGCCCGCAATGAGCTGAAATAGGCGATTGGCCTAAAAGAGCCTTTTTAAGAAAAAGTTGCAACTAAGTAAAATGCCTCGGTTAATTAATCGGAAAGCACAAAATAAAAAAGCACAAAAACCGCACCAAGGCATTTCTCTTCTTCTCCCACTCGTCCGCGATGTCCTCCTTACGAATCTTCCCCAGCATGGAATCGATGGAAATCATAGTATGTGGAATCTGTAATAACAAGAGCATGGCGATTAAACCGTGTGCAAGAGAACCTTACTCTTTTAATGCAATCTAAATAGGCATATCATGCGGGAAACACAAATCCTTTTGTCCTCAAAACTTCCTATGGACAGTCTCTTAAGTTAGAGGTGGTAGCGTCAGAGCAACTGCTGACCTTAGTCTGGCAAATGCTAAGGAAACGGTGGAATAGTAGCCAGCATCTTGACTAGTAAACTGAGGGATTTCGGCCGACTGACTGAAAAATACGCCGAAGATGTTTTGGAGGCCTGTCAGCACGAACAATGTTTACGGTGGAAACTTCGCAAATCGTCATCTAATTAGCTCACTAACGGTGGAACAAGAGGACGTCTATGCCGCAACACCACCGATATTTTTATCTTTGGTTGAGGGACGCACCGTCGTGAACGCAGTTTGGAGGATTATGGCGTGAGCAGCCTAGCATCGAGTACTGCGCATGGTGCAGACAGAGCAGTGATGTCTGCTCGAGTATGGGGTGTATTAAAAGACGGGATCTAAAATTGTATAACAGAAAATCCCCGGAGTGCATACAGGCGGCCGTGCGACAAAGCAGGACGGCGATATATGCAAAGATAGAATCAGTAGGCAGTAGGAGTCAGCTGCAGAATGCTTTGGACATAATCAGAAAAAATACAAGCGACATACAACTGTTACGCCCTTCTAGTAGTCTTTGTGGACCGTATCCGCGGGTAATGCGGTCCAGTCTGACTCTCCACTCAGACCCTACCATCAACCGAACTTAACCGACTTAATTAAGAGAAGTTCGACTGATACCCCGATTTCACAGAAGATAACACTGCCTCAGGGATTATTGAACACGACTACACGACCGCGACCGAATAGGCGGACTTCGTTTGTAAGTATTCAACCACAGGAGTTGGTGGTGGCAACGCGCCTGGGGAACAGGAGGTATGCTAGGCCCTCATCTGGCCACGAAATAAACTTGCAATTCCGTGGGAGTGAAGTAGGCCTACAAAAGCCTACGCCGGGTTTTCGTTCCCATTTATGGCCGCAACGAATAGCTTCTGCGAGTAGAAGTAAAAAGTATCCAGAATTAAAAACTATTGATTGTGAGGCGTCTTCTCCGTACGCCTGCAAGACGGGAGCGCAACTAACCTGACTGAAGGGAATCAAACAAACGCAACGCCTTGTTATCGAAAAGCTACGTCAGTTTGGCCACTGTTCTTTAAATTACTGAAAACATAAGTAGCAGTAAGCGAAGCGCTAGGCGATAAAAGTGCTCTCTTGACTGGTCATAGCTTATTCGAATCATTGATGAAATACGAGTTTGGGGAGGAGGAGTCTATGAAGAGCAGGTCGTCGACAGGTGAGCATGAAATGCTGTAGTGCACAATGTCAGAAAATTCTGACATGTCACCTACATTAGATAGGCTAACTCATGAAATGCCAACGGAAATTCCGAAATGCGTTTTCGTTTCGAAAAGATAAATTAAGTTGTGTTGTAAAACTAGCCAGCCTGCAACACAATTCTATAGTATTTCATTACCTCAGGATGCCGGCTGTCGAATGAACTTCCTTCCGGCTGCATGCGAAGACGACACTGTAAAAATGACTATACGAGTAGCATGCATTTTTCTCATTTTCGATGCCCTTTGAAATCCAATTATATTTCATGGAAAACATGCACAAAAATATTCATCCTTTGGCTCATTCGGTAGACAATTACGTCTTCTTCCAATCTTATACTCGAAGGAAGGATGTAATTCGGTTTTCAAAAACATTTCCAATTCCCGAATAATTTTGAATCCGCTCTATCGTTACACTTCGATTCAGGGCTTCCAAACTACAAGTCGTATATTTTCCGCGTACGAAAAACCACACATTTCTCTACGGTAATAAAGAGGGACCATGTAAGTTCATAAAATTTAGCAGTGGATTTGATCCATATTGTTAACCTTACAAGCCACAATCGTAAATGCAGAGACATGACGATTTATAAACGGTATTTAAAAGTCCCACAATTAGAAACTTTTTAAAACGGAATTATACTTTTCCCTCGAGCATAAAACTGGAGGAAGACGCAATTTTCTACCAAATGAGCGAAAGAATGATATTTTTATGCATGTTTTCCACGAAATATAATTGGATTTCAAAGGGCATCGAAAATCAATGAGAAAAATGCCTGCTACTTAAGTAGTCATTTTTTACAGTGTGGTTTTTGCATGCAGCCGGAAGGAAGTTCGTTCGAAAGCCGGCATCCTTAGGTAACTGAAATATTGTAGAGTTATGTTGAAGGCTGACTAGTTTTACAACCCTACTTAATTAATCTTATCGAAACGAAAACGCATTTCGGAATTTCGGTTGACATTTCATGAGTTAGCCCACCTACCGTAAATAAATGTCCGCCATTTAAGAAGAAAATGAATTTAACAACTAAAATATCTTGTGCGCGAATGGGATCAGTTTTCATTAAAAGCGATCGTTCGTCAAACATAAATTGTCTTCCGAAAAAAGTCGTGGTAGCAATTTTTAAGAGGTCTTTTAACTTTCCCGAAGTTTAGCTGCAATCTTAGTTTCAACATATTGCGCGCAACCTAAAGAATACCAGACTAGGTAAGTTAAAAGTGCTTGCGCACCCCCCAATAAAATAAGGCTCACACAAAATAAAGTCATGTGGACATATATTTTACGAGTTCAGGATGAAAAGTACGAATTGTTGTTAAGTACCAAACACAACCTCTAATCATGGAATCAAGAAGAATCCAAAGCGAGCATTCTCATTCTCATGATAGAAAATAGAACTTAAAAAGGCATGCACAGCAGGATTTATTGGTATTAACAAATTTTGCGACAGTTTATCAACAGAAATCCCTCGCTGCATGTAAGATGCTAAAGCACGCCGTTGTGAGAGAAGCAACCCAATACAGACTAATTAACCTCTCACTCTTATCTGTAAAATGCTCTAATTCAACAATCTTTCAAACATGACCCTTGAAAGAAGCGAGGCAGCTATCTGTCCATGATAGCAGCCAGGGCGAAGTCCCAGACCACCGGGATATAGTAAGACAAGTCGTAAACCGAATTCATGCGAAGGCCCTGGCACAAGAAATAAAACTGCACGACTCATAAGAGCCATCCTAAAGGCAGTCATTTGCAAGAACGAAATAAACAGACTGGACAGAAACTAATTACTGTCAACGGTTATGGAGTGAAGTTCTTAAAATACTTGTTTCTAAGCAGTGAAAATGCCCACTGAAGAATTTAGAAGAGGACATTATGAGCAAACGCTTGTTTGCCTACTAAAAGTAGAATATAGGCAGTGGTAATTGTTCTTCCGTAAGTGTTCGCAGAGATTAGCGGTAGTAGTCTTGTTTTGCCGAAAGTATCAGTATCATCGGTATGAAATGAAGCAAAGAGTAGGCGATTGGGAGAAACTAGGAAAAGCGGGGAGAGAAAACGAACAAGAACCACTCACTTTATCAAGCAGACGCCGAACTTCCCGCTCCTGGCGATATCGACGATTGGCGAAAGGATTCTCCTCCAGGGCGTCGTAATTAGGCTCACCGCTGCCCGGACAGAGGAGGGACAGGATGCCGCCTGAAGTACCTACGCCGATGACGTCCTCGTACGGACAGAAACGTACGCGACTCACTGGACGTTGGCAGTTATGTGTCAGGTAGGCGGTACGTAAAACCCGTCGTTTAACACCCTGTTCCACGTTCCTCATATTGGCACCGGGGTTGAGAGATAATGTGCCGGTCAGTGTGGGGTCCTTCAAAACCTGGGGATCAGTAGAACAGTAAACGCGCTATAAAGATGAGTATGTAAATACAACTACACGCTTTTCATCATTGGTACCTGTCAAGGTCGATCGGCGTGTAATGCGCGGATGGGGTATATGGGTGTCTAGTTGTCGGTCCACGTGACGGTCGTAGTAGGTCGCTTACTTGCTTGCAGGCGTAGACTCGACTAGCGTCTATTAACTGGCACCCAACTCTCACAGGTGGGTGTCCGAAGCTAGGGCCTTCCTAGCCACCACTACCCGGCAACCGCCTCAACCGGTAGGCTAAACCAGGTGAGGGTATCCGTGTGTGAATTTCTGTAAACGGTAACTCGGCTCCGCCCCCACCATCGATGGCTGGACGTATCACCGCCTCAGCTTCTCTGAGATGAGGCTCCGTCTGCAACCCCACAGGAGGCCAAATGCACTCAGCAAGCTACTGACCCAGTGGCTGGAAGACCGCCCCCTTATTTCTCTTCCGTACCTATTCTCCGCCCTTCACTCTCCCTACACTCTACCCTGCTCTACTCTCTTAGCTCACGGTCAAACGCCCCACGGATCACCGCAGTCACCCCAAGATGAGGCCTAGCCTGCAACCCTGCAGGAGGCCACAAGGCAAGTGACCCCCTGGTAGGCCGAATATTGCATTGTTGCCTTTGCCTTTTGCTTGTTCTTGCTAGCTTGCTTCTGTCGGCTTGTGTGTGTTTGTCCTTGTTGTAAGCTAAATACCGTTCCGTTAAATTTTGCCGCTCACCGTTTATATTTTGGCAACCACTTAGTTAAGAGAGGTACGGGAAACTGCTCCCCGTCTCTTTACCCTTCCTCCACCCCCCCTCTCCCCCCACTCCTTCATAAGTCCTACGGTGAGAGCGACAGCGACCACGTAGGCGGATCAGGCTAAGTCGGGTCGTTCTCCCACTAAACAAAGTCGTGACCCATAGTGGAGTTCGGCAGCCGGCTGGGATGTTTAAACAACCCTATTTAGGGACATAACTGCTCACCCCCGCGAGGGGGAAGGGGTTAGGAAAGGTGCTCTAAACAGATGCTGCGATCACGTCCACTGCGCGCTGACCGTGGCTCCAATCACACAAGATACAAAACTTTCTCCCTCCTCTCCCTTCCTCCCCGCCGTCCCAACCCACAGGCTAGTATTGTGAGTCCGTTCACTCTGGCAGCCTGGAACGCTCGTTCCCTTTTAGAAAATCCAAGGAGCAACCGACCGGAACAGAGAACGGAGTTAGTGGCTCGGGAACTGGCGTGCTACAAGGTGGACATCGCTGCACTCAGCGAGACCCGGGTATCCGAAAAAGGCCGACTGGAGGTGGGCGCCGGCTATACCATCTCCTGGAGTGGTCGCCCCAAGGCAGTGAGAGGACGCGGGCGTCGCCTTTGTCAGCTGGAACGACATCGTGGAGCGACTGTCTTGTCTGCCGCAGGGCATCAATGATCGCCTGGTGAGCCTCCGCCTGCCTCTCCGGGGAGGCAAATTCGCCACCATCATCAGCATCTGCGCTCCCCCCGATAACCAGCCCTAACGCTGCAAGGAAAAAATTCTAGGAGGAACTGCACGCCCTCCTGGCGGCTGTGTTGAAGACGGATAAGTTGATTGTCCTCCTACGAACCTGCGCAGAACAACGGCTCCTCCTGACTAACACCTTCCGTCTCCCGACGCGAGAGAAGGCAACCTGGATGCACCCTCAATCGCGACGCTGGCACCTATTGGACTCTGTCCTCGTCCGAAGGCGAGACCAGCAGGACGCGCTGGTGACAAACGCGATCCCGGGCGCCGACGGGTGGACCGACCACCGTCTCATCTCCAAGATGTGTATTCGCCCACAGCCTCGCAGAACATCGCAAGGTAAGCGACCCACATGTAGGCTGAATATTGTTTTGTTGTCTTTGCCTGATCACCATCTCCATTTTAGCAACGAGCTAGCTCAACGGATAGCTGACCTTCCAGTCGCCGAGAACGCCTCCATGGGGGAACCAATTGTGTCAACTGAGTGATACGGTCCAGTAGCCCGCCCTGACTGTGCATGGTCGCACACGCCGCCAACACCAGGACTGGTTCGACGACGACGCCGCCATCAGCAATATACTCGCCGAGAACCGCCTACACAAAGCCTACGTCAATCGCCCTACTGACGATAACAAAGCAGTCTTCTACCATAGTCGCCGCCTTGTGCGGGAGATGCGGGAGGACTGGATGGCTCGCAAGACCGAGGAAATTCAAGGATGCGCGGACCGCACCGCGAGGGAAACCTGTCTACGGTCCGCCAACTAAGGCAACTGCACCTCTTCTCAGAGCCGAAGGCAGTACCCTACTCACCGAAAAGACACAACTTCTGCAGCGATGGGCCGAGCACTTCGGAGGCGTCCTCAACCGTACCTCTACCATCTCCGACGCCGGCATCGCCCGTCTGCCTCAAGTAGAAACCAACATCGACCTCAACCTCCCGCCCTCTGTTTACGAAACCATCAGGGCTGTGTAGCGGCTCCTCAGCGGGAAAGCGCCCGGGTTGGACGCGATCCTTACTGAGATCTAGAAGCACGGTGGCTCTCAACTCACGGATCATCTGACGGTGCTCTTCTAGATGTGGCATCAAGGACAAGTCCTGCAGGATTCCAAGGGCGCCAAGGGTTATGCATCAACCGCCACCTGACTCTGTTTACGTCGCACCCCAAGTCAACGCGAACGGCACCCAGTTGCAAACCTACCCGAGCAACACCTCCCGTAACACCAAAATCAACCATAAAGTGGCCGACCGGATTTCTAAAGCCAGCCTAGCCTTCGGCCGTCTGCAAAACACATCCTGGAATAATTACGGCTGACTTCGTCAAATACTGAAGCTGGGGCGGCAGGACCGGATTCCAGACACGGACGTACAGGAGCGGACGGGACTCCTCAGCATTCACGCTATACTGAGACAACTTCAACTACGTTGACGTGGCCACCTCATGCGGATGGACGACGAGTGGTTACCCAAACGACCCTTCTATGGCGATGTCGCCGCGGGTTTCCGCCGACAAGGAGGTCAAGTCCGGCGCTACAAGGATACTCTGAAGACCTTCCTGAAGCGCCTGCATATCAACCCAGCCAACTGTGAAGACCTCGCCCGGAACCGACCGACCCGGGGAATAGTAGTGGAGACCGGCGCGGCAGTATACGAAGCCACCGGCATCACCGCCGCCAAAGCCAAACGCGAGGCTCGCAAGCCTCAACTGCGCCCACCTCCCAACGGCAGTGCTCGACCACCCCCAACACGCCCACGATGCAAACGGACGTTCAGAGCACCAGTCGGACTTATTGGACATATTCGTACCAACTGCTGCACCAGAACGACGCCAGTCGATGTCACCCCACCCACCCTCGCCTCGCCCCCACGCCGACAATAATCACTGACCGCACTTCTGAACTCCCACTACCATCTTGCTCCTCCGTTGCCTCAACATGCGCAACAGCGGCTCCTGTACCCACCACCACTGCACACAAACCTGACACACCCACTGACATCAACCTTCCGACCGTCCACGCAGCGATGTGGACTCGATTCATGCCCGTCCCCATTGAGATCGCACTTTCACCTCACACATCGGCCTGGTCGATCACCTGAGAATCCATTGCACAGGCACTGGCGAACCAGTGCCTGGAGCACCAACCTACACTCGCCACACTCGCCTCCACTGTCCATACTGCCTCCGCACATTCACTCACCACATGGGCCTATTCGGTCACATGCGTATCCATGAGAGCGGAATTGATCGAAGTCTCGACAGCACCTCTTGCACATCCACCATGCCTATCTCAACGCACACCCCGCCGCCCAGCACACCCACCACCATCAGTTCCACCACACTCAGCACATCTTGCACGCCCACCACGCCTAGTCCAACGCACACTCTGTAGCCCAGCGCGTCCATCATCAACAGCTCTACCACTGCAACCATCCCCGAAACCGGCACTGACACTACAGACTTCTATCACACTGTCCCCGTACATTCATCCCACACATCGGCCTGGTTGGCCGCCAGTGAATCCATCGCACAAAGACTGGCGAACCAGTGCCTGGAGCACCAGCATACATCCGACGCATCCGCCTCAACCGCCCTCACTGCACCCGCACATTCACCCACCACATGGACTTGTGAGGCCACACGCGCACTCACGAAGGCCTACGGTATACAACCGCCGGCTACACCACACCATGCCATCTTCCCCCACCAACATATGCATCACAAAACATCATCATCCCCCACAAGCAGCTAACTGCCACCTCCCATGCGTGTGGGAAGTGTGCGTCTCGGTCCCGTCTCGATGTGGTCCCTGCTGCATGTGTGATCCGAGCCCAAGACTATCACGGTACGTCAAGCACCGTGGCTTGGAAGGCTGCTGACTGACGCCCCAACTCAGTCTACGCAGTCCGTCCAGTTTTGTGAGTGCTTGCGTAAAGTGGCAGACTGGTGGGCTGAGAGCCATTATGAAACGGCTCCTTCTTAACATGACATACGGCACTCGCACGCAGATGACATGTACGCCGTTGAACCCCCGTTGTGTGAAATCCCGGTGCTCGTGTTTGGAGGGCCAGGTCGTGCATGTGGCGCGCGCAGACAAGGTCATTAGATGTCAGCCACCAGGCCCATTCCCCGCAACTGTCAACTGACCGGCTCGGACGGTAACTGGGGCCTAGAAATGGGAGGGGAGAGTGAAGTCGACGACTCAGTGAATTTCCGTCACTATAAACAATCTGACGCGCGTTGAAGCTATCATGGTGCACTACAAGCCGCGGCTTGGAACGTTGCCAACTTACGGGATTACTTGGACCTCGCAGTCAGCTGGTAATCTAAGAGTCAGGCAGCAATGGCTCCTTCTTAATGAGGCCTTTATGGCACTCGTATTCCGTGAAATCCGAGCCAGGTGTGACGGCACGCCTAGGTGGGACTTCGGCCGCGCCAACCTCTTCTTTTGCTGTTGGTTAATATCCTGGTCATTTGCTGTGTGCATCAGGGGGTGTGAAGCCCCAGGGTGCGGTCTCGACCGTGCCATCCACCTGCGCCCTCGCCCGCCTCCGGTCTTCTTGACTTTGTCTTGACACTGGGTCCAGAAAGGGGAAGAGAAGAGAGTGCGATAGATGCTGCGAAAGCCTACATTCACTATAAACTAAATCACGCACAAGTCGCCGTTCCTGCTTCATCTTGCTGTGGAGCACACGGTGGGCATCGGCGGAAGCGGTCAGACTGTCAATGCGAGAATTCTGACATATATGCCTTATATTCAGTCCACAATCGGGAAAAGTTTTACTTGTTTGGAATATTTGGTCCCTGATTGACATTTCTGCCAATTCAGGAATGGACATACACCAACCCATTGACTTGCCGAACGAAACAGGCTCCAAATGGACGACGGAGGTCACAAAAAGATCGAACTCGGCCAGGCTACGATAACAGAAGTAATGAAGACAAGGATGATATCGGATAAATACAGAACTCGTTTAGGTTTATTTTGCCTGCATTTACTCATTAATCGTTCTGGCCAACATCTGGTACCAAAAACACAAAAATGTGCACGTACGCAACGCGATGATGCACAGAAGGGGCGTTCGGGAAGACAAAGGATCAGTGCACATACAATTCTCCATGAATAAATGCTCCATCTACAGTGACAATGACAGGTGAAGAGGCACCGACGAACTGCTCAGGACTATGTGATAAGTCCTGTATGTGAACCATCTGTGACGTGTGCGTTTGCACGTTTGTGACCCCGCTCCCAAATGATGCTCAGGCTTGCTGTGCCAGAATAAAGTCAGAAAAAAACCGAAAAAGTTCAGGTATCAAAACCATCCGCATCTTCGTCGTCACTCCCATGGCCTAGTTCGGCCTGGCAAGAGGCTGCCTGTTCATGACCTCTGTAACTCACTCAGAAACAATTTCGGGAAACAAGGAGAACGTCAGTCTGGGACCAGATGTTTCAAGCAAATAATGTTGCCCACCATTAGTGACTGACGAGTCTAGTCCGCAGCCCCGGTGAGAGTATCACTGGATCTGTCGGTCGACTCTGGGCCCCAAAGCTGACTGCGAATTCGTTGTTACTAGAAGTCTCATCCGCCCAGGGTTGGCGTTTTCTGTGTTTCAGTTTTCGACAGCGAGTTGGCCAGCCGCGCCTAAATCCCACAGCTTGGTTGAGTATGTATCAAACAACCACGACTCGTGAAATTATCGTGCCCTGCAGTCATCACTTTGACGAAAGGTCTCGACACCATCGAATATGGAATTGAGAAAAATGGGTTACCATGTCAGACCACTCTCGGCCTGCATCCTCTTCTGGAGTTTTAAACTGGCCTTCCGACTCTGTGACCATATTACAACCTGTAGATGACAGATGGCCTCATCTGCTTGAGCATTCGTTATTTCAGGAGCCACACTCGACAGCAAAAATTTCGAATAGAGCTAACGAATCATACAAACTACTACTTGGCCAAGAGATCTACCTAGCGCCTCCAATACACCGTCACCTTACAGAAGGCGAAGTGTTGAGGAAACGTAATGGACTTCAAAGCTACCGGCCTAGAATTGAGATACGACTGACTATAGACCGTAGACACGCCAGTTGAAGCCATTCCGGTCTTTTTAGTTGGCTTTACACGATATCGAAGATTTTTACCATTGTATTTCAAGACGACAGATCACAAAGAAGTAGAAGAAAATTATAAATGTCAAAACAACTTGAGGTAGTAGAAGCAAACAATTCCTCTGACAGCAATTTTCGACTAACCTGGACCGTTGTAGAGGAACCGATTGCAAGCAATCCTAGCTGGCTAAAATCGATCGAACTGGCAGGCGTTGGAAGGGTGACCTCAGCTAGACAGTCGTATGTCGATCGCAGATCCCAAATCTTTAGTGCTCGATCCAGACCGCACGAGGCAAGGTACCTTTTAGGAAAAGGTGGAGAAAATAGGTACACACTTACTGGCCTGAGCGGTGGACAGAAATGGCCCGAACGGCCGACTTGTGGCAGAGCACTTTCACAACTGGATTTTTCTCAGTCGGAGTCCACATGGACACTACGCCACTGGGATGGCCGGTGAGGATAACTGCATTGCTGGGGTTTTGACAGGCAACACCAAGGGAGCCGAGGAAGGTAGGATAAGAAGCGACAATTTCGCCGATCGAATAGTCTAAATAGTACATAAAACCATTATTTGCCTTGGGTAGAGGCGTCATGGGACAAGCGGTAGAATACCATGGCCACCAACAGAAAGTGATAGGGCAGGAACTCCAGATGTCGTATGTCATCGAGACGCTTAAGGCAGTGCAGCTCAATACCCTGATTATCGTAAATGTACGTGTAGCCTTTCTGTGCGACAGCGATAGCTGTTTCTTGATGTAGGAACCTTAAAAAAGTTGAGGATGAAAGGTATGCCAATATAACGGTCGGTACTTGACGTCGTGGCATTCTTCCCCGACGTTTGTCTCAAATAGCAGACGCTTAGTCATCCAATCAAAGGCCGCAACGTGACCACGCTTTCCACATAAGGAGAGAAACCTGGGACCGAATATAAAAATGACTTCTTTTCTTACCGTCCGTTTCTAGAATAATCGATGTGGTAGGGGCCAGCGTTTAGAGTGAGTTCAAATCGCTAGAAGCTAAAAACGAGAAAAGGCAAACCTACCTTAGTGGCCGAACCCAGATCAACTTGCTTTAATATGATGTCCTGGTCGAGAATCTCATTTTCGTCCGTCTTCTCTACGAATCTTTAGCGAGATTAGGCCTATGAGTCAGTAGCTGCTTACCCCGCCCGCTCAGAATTCACGGTGGCGATGCGTCTCAACTGCCGCTGGGCAGATTTCGACTTACGAGCCTCATGTTCGACTTTTTTGCGGTGAAACCGTGTGGGGATTCCAGACTACTGGGATATAATAAGAAAAATTGTATACCGTGTTCACGTGGGTATCCATTACGGCAATATGCAGGGACGCTCAGCTCCAAATGGTATGAAGCAGGTTTAAAGGGGTTGGTTCGCACTACTGGTAATGTAGGCAGAACGGTTCTCACAGTTAAGGCGCGTTACTGATGATGAGAAAAACCGTGGACCTTAAAAAGATAGACAGGTAAAAGGATGGGAGGACACAGTGTCTTCGGGTCAGGGGAGAGGGCGTTGGTTTCAAAAGATGGACCTGATAGAACTTGAAACTCGGCATAACCGTGCAAAATCAAGAAATATGAAGGGCTTACCGGATCAGTGGGATTGCACCCTTAATATCTCTCAGATTATCGACCCGGACCTCTTACATTTTCTAACGTCGGTGCTTACCACTTCTGGCTAGCAGAACGACTATATAATTACGTTTCACAGAGTTTATGATAAATTCATGCACATTCGTTAGGATTCGCGAAGACGGTACAGGCGAGGTCCCTAATCCTATCCATATAATGTGCCTTTCCACCGTTCCACTCACTTTCCAATTTTCAAGTATGTTAGTTGGCAACTTAAAAATATTGCTACGTTGTCAGCCGATGGTGACGGTAGTACTATTGTAAGAAGTTTAGAAGAGGACTTTTAAGACTCGGTCCGAACTCCAAAGTTAACGTTCAATACGAATGCTTTCTATCTCAAAGGTGAGGTTACGTGATGTTCAAATTTGCGAATTATTGTCTAGTAGTAAAAATTGGTAATCCGAAACGTTGGCAACGTACACTAGAATTTAATGTACTCAAGGGGCTAAGTTCGTTTAGTGATCGTATGTCAGGCTTGCTGATTAAGGACAAGTGGCCTAAGGATACGTCGGGCAGGCAGAGCAGATCCAGCAGCGGGACTATCATGGACGGAGTTGGTAGGACGGAGAAAAATGCACAGACTCACGACCTGCAATTGGACATTTTAGCTATTTTCACCCACGTTAGAGGCCCCGGCATCGCGGGAGTAGAATAGACGGCAGGGTATGCTTGTTGGAAGGACGAATCCCGTCGACACAGGGCCTGACTGCAGCCGTGGCCGAGAGTGTTTGCGGTGGGTTTAAGTCTGGTGATTATTTGGTGGCTGATAGTAAGTTTTCTTGTACAGACAGGGACGAGTAATTGTCATCACGGACTAAAGCGTTAGGCAGCTGGACCTTATCGTTCGGGTTTTGCCAACGCTTTTTGGGACTGGAAGTCGCCCATGCGCTGTCTAGCTCGCGCTCGGAATAGACTATGGAGTGACATTGTACCATGGCGTCTCTGCTTTCATTTCTGCAGTTATCACAGTTCAGCTGGTATATTTTCTTTTATCAATAGCGAAAATGTGACTGGTGACCACTATGTGGCCAGTTAAGGGGCACCTGCACAACCCTAGGGAGCGCCTTCCCCTGAATCCCTTTTTAGTTTTTACGTTCTACCTTTCGCCGGCAACCGTGACGTGGTTGTGACTCGGGTACTAACTCGTTTATTCGTGTGATTGGAAGCTTCCTGTATTTGTCAGGTCCGCTACTTTTTTGCCCGTTATTCTTTAGTGAACAGGGCACTGGGTAATGGTAAGACCGTCCTCTTGCCGTTTCATTCGATTAAGGTGTTCGAAGACTTGAGACTCAGTGGCTTTCGCAGATTATGCCGACAAATATGGCGGCTGGTATTATGGTAGAACACAGCTTTCAAAGGATATTGTCGGTGGCCATTGAGCATTAAGAATGTTTGTAGAGAAGAAGCTGGTTAGTCTCTTAAGCTATCTAGAAGGGCACTGAAACAGAACCTCCTGAGAATGTTAAAGATGAGGTTCATTAGCTTGGTCAGTGAACAAAAAGGCTGGTATTAGGCTTCTGGGGAAAATGAACAGTTACACAAACTCATCGACCCTTTACCGGATTAGGTGAATATTCCTTCAAAAAGTTAAAACTACTTAAGTGTGTTAGCAACGCCGATAAACACGGCGCATAATCTCAGGTCAACTGATATATCATAGAGTACTAGCTACTGACTAAGAATCTTGTACAACTTTCATATCGATCATACATCGGAAAAAATCGTTGCTAACGCAGTACTTCAGATAATTAGCTCGGAAGTGCGTGGAAAAATGTGTGTTGCTCACAGACGAAGCATATAAACTGCCTCAGCTATACTTCAATACTTTGTGTGAGAGGATACGCCTTCACATGAACGTGACGAGAAATAGCAGGTGTTTATAGAAAGAAAAGCTCACAAAGCACTTCGAAATGTTTACGGGCATTTAAAAACCCAATGTCATGGGTAAAGATGTACGAGTTGCGGAATCCCATTATACTTGGCTTTTTTTATTTGCAAACCCACTTTCGGACTTTGGCCAACGCTCCACCAATTTCTGTGCAAGCCGTGTGTCGGCTGAAACGAATGGTAGTTTAGCCAACCACGGAATAAATAGAAGCCCCTGTTGGGTGAAAAATAAATCCTTGAACATTTGTGAGGACCTAGGCGGGCAGAGGACAACGATTATCGTAAAACTGGATCTCTGACGCTAATATTTCGAAAACATCATGAGGATTGTGCAACGCGAGAATTCTGAGCACCATCCTTTAGCAGGACTGGTGGTCTCATAAATATCATTCGATCTCAGCCGTCTACAACTGAACGTATCAAACTATTTTTGCTTCAAACACCGACGATATCAAAGTCAGCTAAAACGGTGCAGACCATAAGCACATAAGTTATCATACTTGACGATATAAATCCGAAGTTTTGAATACCATATACGGCGATAAAAGGGAAACGACTCAGCTGTTGTCAAAGTGGCCGCGCTACTTCGTTTTCTGAAGCAGTATGGTAGACTCCTTAAGGTAGCCCAGAGGCCACAGATTCGCAAAGGATTCAGTCCAAAACATCTAGCATTTCCACGGTTATATTCAAAACTATAAATCCAAAAGCGCGTTCCTCGGTATGACTCCAGGAAAAACTGGACGAAATTCTGCGCAAAATCTAGGATACAGCGTATTGAAAATGGGCAGAATGATATTAGCGACAAGGACAAGGGAGACTGGAATGACCATATCTGACTTGTTAACTGTCATCAGTCAGCTACACCCGACCCAAGGTTTTCCAACCCTTGCGGCTCGAACCCGCGACCTGCTGGCTAGAAGTCCAACGCCACAATCATAGAGCTATGGGCTCGCTGTCCCGTAGGTTGCAGATAATATTCCGAAAGCTGATGGTAACGAACACTACTGTCTACAAATACTGGCCGCCTAGTGGAGAGCTTTAATTTAAACTGCTTTATTTTCCACAGTACTTTACTGAGTTCCCCTGAACTCGTCGGTCAGCGGTCTCCTCGTAATAAGACAGTTTGTCGGTGTATTCGTCAAAGAGTGGTGCCCCAAAGCAACGTGTTAGCAACTATCATTAATCATTCAACCGAATCAGCTGATGCCAGTCTCCTAATGCTGTGATTAGACAGTAGTAATGATCCTGTTGACGCCTTCGATGAAATATGTCAAGTATTGGAGATTCAGTGGTCCTAAGATACTTAAATGGCAGAGGGAGAGAGAGTTCGGTAAGACAAAGGTTTATCAATATTAAGAAAACCAACGTAAGAAGATCCAGATAGACGGAGTTTCATATTTACCGACCTACGGGGTGCCTTTGGACCTTGTCAGGTCGACCCAGTTGCAGAAATACGTAAACGTAAAACAAGTAAATGCGATTTTCTAAAGCTGTCCTAAATTTCTGGTCTTGCCGTTGCATATATGGTCGACAACAAAAAGCAGGCGCACTTCCGTGTGTTCAAATGGCGAAAAGTACTACGATGCTAGGAGCTAGAGACCCCGTATGCGTTCGTACGCGCAAAGGGGCCCGCAGGCGTGACGTGCAAAATGCACTCGAGTGAGCATCAGGGAGGGACTGTGGCAGAAAAACTCTCTTCCTCGCATAGATCGCGCGCTGTCAGCCAGTCAAGCTACTAGGTCTACACTAGCCCGCAAGTCAAACCGGCTAGCGAAGGTCTAGACCTAGGAGACCAAACGTTATCGGGAAACTAAGGCTGTTAAGCACAACCCAAGCATCAGGACGCTTAGAAAGAAAAGAGGATGGGAAAACCTAAGGCGAGGAAGCATATAGCGTAAATCGTCAGTACCAACACGGACGCAGTTCGCGGGAAGGCGAGCCAAATCGATAACGAAGTAGAAGGGAACATAAAAACACACAGGTACAGAAGAGACGGACGGAAACACAACCAATGAGGCACTGCACAACAGCAATACATTTCAAAGACCGTAACAGGGTGTTACGTAACAGTGGCATTGAAGAAGAACCAGCAGCACGGTCAAAAATGAAGCGAAATGAATGGGAAGCATGGTGAGTGACTAAAGAACGCAATATGCGGACGGGTATCAGGGTGCTGGATAGTGATTGGTCGAAGATTTTCATGTGAGCTGCGTGGGCATCTGGAATAATCATGAGTATAAAGTTTGCAAAATTATGTCTGAGTTATACTTCCAATTACAAGGAGACCATAAAGATGTCATTAAGAAAGTCGGTCAATTGAGGAAGTTGGTCAAATAAGAAGTTATTATATAGTACTCCCTTTAATAGTTTCAATCAGCTCAACCACAATTTAGTTAGTTATTTAGTATAGTTAGCTAGCTAGTCGGTTTGTTAGTAAAGTTAGCCAGTTAGTTATTATAGTTAGTTGGCTAGTTAGTAAGTATGCTTAGCTAGTGGGTTAGTTACATAGTTAATCAGTTAGTAAGTTAGTATAAAAAGATAGTGGGTTGGCATAGTTAGTTAGTTAGTTAATTGGTCGGCTATTTAGTCAGTTATTTGGTTAGTTATTTGGCTAGTTAGTTTGTAAAGTTAGTTAGTTGGCTAGTCAACATAAGTAGTTAGTGGGTTGGTATAGTTAGTTAGTGGGTCGGATAGTTAGTCAGTTAGATGGTTAGTTAGGTAGTTGCATCATTAAGTTGGCCAGTTAGTACATTTAGTTAGTTGGTTGGTTAGGTAGTTAGGTACTTTGTTAGTTTGTTAGATCGTTTGCTAGCTAGTCAGTTAGTTTGCTAATTAGTTAGTTAGTTAGATATATATTTGCTTAGTTACTTAATTATTTGGTTAGCATAGTTAGTTAGTATTGTTATCTACATAGTAGCTCATTTCGAAAGTTCTGCGCAGTTTGCCTAACCTTTAGATTTTTCACGGTTTTAAGCTCCCAATGGTCGTCCATAAACCCCATCCAAAAAGATAATGCGATGACGATGTGCCGATCATTTAGCCTATATAACTGGTTAATTGTATGGCAAACGGTGGATATTTACAACAGTCAGTTGAAAATTCCATTATTTAAAGACAATATGCTGTCGCAATATCGCCCCGATTACCATATCTCTACGTTTCTCCAGCATGTAATACTTTTCCGTTTCTTTGTTTTAACTAGGCAATGGTTTTTGCCCGTTTACTTTTTGGTTTTTTGGGTTGCGCGCTCCACTAGATTTCATCCGCAAGTGCGTTAGTTAGCGAATGCCCCTATGGCCGCGCATGGCAAGGTGGGAGGCATTAATGAGAACATTTTGCGTAATGTTTCCGCCAACTCAGATTGCCAAGCGATTTCTTGAATATTTTCACTTGACCTGTGATGTCTTCAACGATTTTTCTTAATATTAAGTTTCGCGAAATCATGTTTGAGTGATACTTTTAGTCACTGACCTTTATATGCATGATGTATAGTTAGTCAATCCTATGAAGAACACCCCAATGCCGACAGTCATAACTTTGATGTGCAAATGCTAATTGATACGTATTTTATTTAGCTAAAGTGACTTCCGAAAGAAAGACTGAACAGTGGCAGTGTTTTCGCGATTTCAGAGTTGACTGTTGAAGACTGTTTCCCATCCCCCGTAGAGGCTTCCAGCTCCACGCCCCTGTGGTTCTCTCAAGCATTGGTCCGGAATTTGTTGTCTCAGAAACCCCTCCGTGACTGATTTTCGTTGAGGATATTACCTACGTCGTAACTTTGTAGCTTTTTGTTATTTTATCTACATTTCTCAATAAACTATATCCATTCACTTCGCTATCTGACGACTGACTGCCTGGACGATTGTGAAAACAAATTTTCATCATCTACCTAACTAATCGATTAGAGAACCCTTTCTCATAGTTTTTTACAGTTAAGCAGTCCAAAGGACCTGGCGAAACGACCTCTGAAGAGGGGACGATTAACGCGGGTATTACATTGGCGGCGACGGTCCCTCGAGCTCCACCCCCCAGCCCTCCGTTGGTTTTGCATACGCTCATTTGCCCTTGAAATTGACAGCTCATGATGAGAAAGAAGATTACGCTGCTTAGCTCCATCGCTCACAATCCCACGTCCGCGTGGTCCCCGTCAACGACTAGAGCATGGTTGTTTAAAAGTGTCTGAGGGATGCCCAAATGGATAGTGTTGGACGATTGCTTGTCCGCGAAATCACCCCTGGAAGAGCTGTACAAACAGCTGGAACAACTATTGCGGCCTGCAATATCGGAAGGCGAGGTTATTACGCATCTGTATACACGCTGGCGACTGGTGGGGCCATCCTCCTATGATAGCGTGGCTTAGTTACGCCTTTTTTGTCAAACAGAATACCCCTCTATTTCCTAAGTCGACTGCAATGACACTGTAATGCACCATTTCGTCAAAACATTGAACCTCCAGAACTACGCCGATCCCTCCTCCAACCACCCCCGGATCAGGAGGAGGAGGTGAGCCGGGTGGACCGATACTCGCGTGTGCCACCGCTGAGCACATGCACACTCCACTGGCTAACAAACGACTCGATAAACACCAATGCGTGGCCCCGATGGCAATTAACGACGTTCTGACGACAACTAGTCAAACCGGGCTGCACCTTTCGACGGCCGCAGTATCCCAGATACAGGAGTTACGATCATTTTCCGAATCGACAGATATGCACTTGTCACGACCAGCGGATTACCACTTCCAGCGGATTCATCGGATTGGGTATGTACTCGAATTTTCTTATTTCCCAACATCATAAAACGGTACCACCGTTCTTTACCGACATTGCTCCTTACGAGCGACGGACTAGAGAGTTAATCGATACAGGTGCAACCACATCTCTCGTTAACCTACAAGTACTGTCACACAAACAGTACTTGCAAATGGACAACAGTCCAAAAAGGCATGCTTAACGACGGCAGATGGCTCTCGGTTAAACTGCATTGGTAGTATGCTGTTACAGTTGACATTTCAGTCTGGTTAGGGAGAGCATACGTTTTTCGTAGTACCGGGGTTAACCTGGGATGTCTTGCTAGGGGTCGACTTTCTCGACCGATGCGATTGCACCGTCCGCGTCAAGCAACGAACTATAACAATCCACAAGGCGCGCCTTTCGAATTCGGTTTGGAATTTTCGACCTCCGGGGGATTTGCCTTTTCCGGGATTTCTGCCTACTGGACGCCCTGCGGGCCCATTTGAATTAAGAAATTGAAGCGTAATCAGCAATTCCTCGAACGATCCACACGGAACTCCGACAGAACTATCTTTGGGACGACCATTCTCCTACGTATAGATTCTCTGCCAACAGCACCGCAGGACTCTTTAGACCCAAGAGCGGCTGAGTGATTTGCTATTTGCTTCATATTGTTGCCTCGGTTAAAAAACTTCTCCTACACCTTAAAACTTCGCCCCGTACCTAGAATACCTTGCGCATCCTTCGAATTAATAATGGGAGTTTACAAAACACCATCAGGACAATGTGCAAAAGACTCGCAGCCAGTGGGATTTGAACCCAGGTCCCGTCGTGGGGTGACCAGCGAGATCACCACCAGACTATCGGCGCACGGTATACAGAGTGAAATAAATAAAGGAGTAAAGATTATTCGTCATACAAACGACTGCAATTCTGTTTATATCGCTGCCAAGTCACCTCCCGCTAAACGAGCAAGGAGTTTAGTAAGCTGTATCGATACCAAATACGAAGACGAAGCCTGTACGACATGTTTCGGACTCCTTCAAAAATTTGCGGAAATGGAGAAGGAGATAAAGGGCCTTAAAGGGGAAATGGAGAAGCTGAGGAATCTCCCACGCTATTCATCAAAAGAGAAGGAAAGTGAGAGAACATACGCAAATACGGCTTCCTCGGCTGTGTCGACAGAGGAGAAAGAGAATAGTAGGTTGTTAGAGCCCGATAGTAATGACAACCAGTGTCTTGTGCGAGAAAACCGTGGTCAGACACGATCTCGGCGCACAAGAAGAAATCTCAGGGTACCTCGAAAAGGCACAGAGAGTCAGACAAGGGAACAAGAGTAGGCTACGACGCAGACGAAAGTCGCGCCGCTGAAAACGACAAATGATCAAAAGGTCGTAGTAAATAGGCAGTCATGCGTTAGTCCTACCGAATCAAACCTTCGTAAATCGGTGGAAGGCGGTAGCCGGGATATCCGCGATGAAGATTCTGCTGGTATGATTAAACCATAAGGCCGTCTAGTCGATCGCAGTAAATGCATTGTTATAAAGGGCATGCCTGAATCTGTTTCCGACACTCCAAAGAACAGAATACAGCATGACATAGTAATATTCCAGGAATATGTCAAATCGATCTTAATAAAAGACGAGAAAGTCACAGTATTAAAAGCTTTCAGGATGGGCCAAATAAAAGACCCAAAACATGAACCAGACCGACCGAGATCGTTAAAAATTTCTTTGAGAATGGCGAACAAGCGCAGCTACTTTTGAGCAGGAAATCTGCGCTTCAACATGTCCATCCATCGGTTTTTTTCAGACAGACTTTTCACCCGCGGAGCGAGAAAAATGGAGGGGGCTCAAACTGAAAGTCCTCAGGTGGTCGAGTGTGAACAAACGAATCTCAGAATAGTGGACGGAAAAATTATACGCGTCCGGAGGCCATTCCTCTGGAGTAAGCCCATAACTCTAACAGCTTAGGAGTGATGGAAAGCACTTTATCCATATTATCCCCGACCTCCTTTTGCATCAAATCTCAGAAAATGGATAAACGACTGTATGCCGGCGTTGCTCGTGCCAAACTGAGATTTTTGTATACCAATGCTCAAAGTCTCGTTTCGAAGATCGACGAACTCAAAGCGATAGTATCAGAACGAATCCCCGACGTTATCGCCATAACGGAAACTTGGCTTAATGCCGAAATCGTGGATGCTGAGATTTCGATACCAGGTTACCAGCTCTTTCGTAGAGACCGTCAAAATAGACAGTGCGGAGGGGTAGTCGTATATGTAAGGGCAGGAATTTTCACAGTTGAAAGAGCTTACACCCTTCTCCCTTGAATATGAATCCGTCTGGATAAAGATAAGGAAGAGCCATGCACAAGATCTAGAATTTCTGGCGATTTACAGACCACCAAACCTTCTGAGTGCAGCTGATGAGTCGCTCCTTGGTTAAGTCAAAGACGTAGCTAGCCACCAAGAGGTACTTATTGCTGGGGATTTCAACGCACCCGCAATAGTGTGGAAAACTATGGCAGTTAACGGTGGGCCAGCCTCTTTCAGCAATAAGCTACTGGTCCTCACACTCGATCTCGCTCTGGCGCAACATGTGAAGGTGCCAACAAGATTTCGAGAGAACCAGAGAGCGAATAGTCTAGACCTAGTTTTCACTAAAGAATTCTCTAGTATCGACGAAGTGTATTCCAATGCACCTCTCGGGAAAAGTGACCATACTACACTACTATGGGATTATTCGCTCTTCTCTCAACGCCAGAAGAGAACAGAGGGCCAACCTAATATATGGAAGGCAGATTTTAATATGATGAAGAACGAATTGCTGTCCGTGAATTGGGATCAATTACTCAGGGGGGATCCGGAGGATGAGTGGAGATCTTTTAAAACGATTTCACTCGACCTGATTCGGCGCTGTTGTCCAAAACACAACAACAACTAGTCAACCTGCTTGGTTAACTAGAGACCTAAATAGGCAGCTACGGAAGAAAAACAAACGATGGAAAATATTCAGGGAAACTGCGTCACTAGCGCATTTCGAAGAATTTAGTCGTCAACAAAATGCAGTCAAAAAACGTATCCGTCAGGCACGGAAGGAGTATAAATCCAAAATTATCCAAAAAGCTGAGCAGAAGCCCTAGATTTTATTTCACTGTATTAACAGAAGACTGAAAAATAAGGACCCGGTCACGGTGCTGAAAGATGATAATGGTGTAGAGGTCATTGAGAACAGCGAGAAAGCCGAACACATAGGAC